TGCGAGCTGTTATCGTAAATTGAGCACTGGCTGCGTGCCAGGTACAAAGATCGATGAAAGTCTCATCAGGGCTCATCGTCTGACGGCAGTCTCAGGACACTGGGACAAGTGTGCTGGAGCCCGGCCTGTAAACGCAAGAGCGGACCGTGGCTACTTTTCTGCATTAACTGGTGTTGGGTCAAACTCCAGGATTCACTTCCTGGAGGCCAGGCCATTGCAACTGAGCTGAGGTTCTGTGAGCCAGGAGCAAGGCTGGCTGTGGGGTGGGCACCCTGCAGTCTGCCACGTTTGTGTGTCCTGGAGACCGGCAGAGTCCTGCCCTGAACAGGCTGTGCCTCTCCCAACTCCGTCACCGTCAGGTTGTGTTTGTGTGTATCTGTGACTAAGTGTGAAGGAATTAGAGGCATGACAGGGATGGGTGGGAGGAAGGGGAGAAGGGTCCCAAAGACCAGCTTCCTCTGCGGTTGTGAAAAACTAGCTTGTTTTAGGTTATTTTTAAATCTTTGCGTGTGTGTGTGTTGGTGTGGGGAGGAGGGTGGCATTTCAGCCTAACACATTTTTTTTTAAGATGTATTTATTCTGTAACCAGCAGGTTAAGCTGCTGCCAATGAAGCTTGCTTCCCACATCACAGAGCTGGTTTGAGCTGCTCCGCTTCGGATCCAGCTCCCTGCTAATGTGCTTTGAAAACAGCAGATGGTGGTCCGAGTGCTTGGGTCCCTGCCATCCATGTGGCAGAACCGGGTGGAGTTCTGGGCTCCTGGACCAGCCCTGGCTGTTGCTGCCATTTGGGTATGAACTAGCCGATGGAGGATCTTCCTGTCTCTCTTCCTCTCTCTCCTTCCCTCTGTTTCTCCTTCTCTCTGTCACTCTGCCGAGAGAGAGAGAGAGAGAGAGAGAGAGAGAGAGAGAGAGAAATCTTCCATCCACTGATTCACTCTCCAAATGCCCACAACAGCCTGGGTTAGGCCAGACTGAATTAAGAAGCCCAGAATGCTGCTGGGGTCTCCCACGTGGGTGGCAGGGGCCCATCATCTGCTGGCTCCCAGGTGCATTAGCAGGGATCTGGATGAGAAGCATGAAGCAGCCAGGACTTGAATCCGGGATTCTGATGTGACAGAGGAAGCAGGGGCTTGACCTGCGCCACAATGCCCACCCATAACATGAGGCCTAATGGGTGCAGCTCTCTAGATGTGATAGTCAAGGGGGCAGCTTGCAGATAACAGCAAAGACCAGCAAACAGCTTCCTCTAGAGTGGCCCTGTTCTTTGAGCCTCCCAGTGTGGTGACTGTTAGGGAAGGAAAACGTTTGAAGGACAGAGGGGCTGGGCTGAGGACAGGCGAAGGGGTGAGCCCCGGCCATCCCTTCGGGGACTGGCTGCCCGGCCTCTTGTCTCAGCTGCACTCATCTGCCTGACCCAGTTCTACCTGACACCAAAGCTCATGACCTGGGAGATTCCAGCCCCAGAGCCTGCACCGTCCCTTCACATGTGAGACACTGGCCGGTGTGGTGCAGTGGGCTAAGCCGCTGCTCGGGATGCCTGCACCCTGCTTTGGCGTACCGGGGATCAAATCACACCTCTGCTGCTTTCGACCCAGCTTTCTGCTGGTGCGCGTCCTGGCAGGTGGCGGGGGATGGCTCAAGTCCTTGCGTTTCTGGGAGACCCCGATGGCGTTCCTGGTCCCTGGCTTCAGCCTAGCCCAGCCCTGGCTCTTGCAGGCATTTGGGTAGTGAAGCAGAGGCTGGAAGCGCGCTCTCTCCTCTCCCTCTTTCACTTTGTCTTTCAAACAAATAATAACAAGTAAATTAGAAAAGGAACATAGCACAAGTTGAGCAGTTCTAATCCAGACATCCAAAATGTTCCAAAAAAAAAAAAATCCAAACTTAAAAAAATTTGTCAAGACAAAGACATTGAGAATAAGTCATCTGTAACCCGGAAATGAGGCTTCATTCTTTCAATCAGTCACTCATTCATTCAAACATTTATGTATCCAGGCACTGGGGAGCAAACACTAAACCAATAAGAGCCCAACCTGGGGCTGGCACTATGGCACAGCTGGTAAAGCCACCGCCTGCAGCACCCGCATACCATATGGGCACAAAGTTCAAGTCCTGGCTGCTCCATTTCTGATCCAGCTCTCTGCTATGGCCTGGGAAAGCAGTAGAAGATGGCCAAAGTCCCTGGGTCCCTGAGCCTACGTGGGAGACCTGGAAGAAGCTCCTGGCTCCTGGCTTTGGATCAGCCCAGCTCCAGCTGTTGAGACCATCTGGGGAGTGAACCAGCGGATAGACTTTCTTTCTCTACCTCTGCCTCTCTGTAACTCTGCCTTTCAAACAATACATCTTAAAAAATAAATAAATAAAGCCCTCAGAGACAGACCGTCCACCTCAATCTGTGAGGGCAAAAAATTAGTCTAAGAAAAAAAAAAAGCCCAACCGATATTCTAGGTGAGGAATAGGCAGCAAGCAAGAGTAATCCATGAGTACCTTTTTCACTAACAAGCATAACTAATAAGGCAGAGAAGGGGGGGAGAAAACCTGCAGAGATGGGCGTGGCTGCTATTTTAGTAAATACAGCTGTGCTGGAATACAGCCGCGCTCCCAGACTTCCATGTGGTCCATGGCAGCTTCAAGCTAGGACGGCTGAGCTGAGGCTCTGCAGCAGGGATGGTAGGACCCATGAAGCAGACCCCGTTTACTGTCCGGCCCTTCCCAGAGTACCGCATCGTACCCGCTAGCGTGACTCTACAGACAGTGCTAGCAAGGCTGAGGACACATCGGGACCTCACACGCTGCCAGTGGGAGCGGACACTGGTGCAGCCACTCTGGAAGACGTCCGGCAGTTTCTCAGAAAGCCAAACATAATCTTATGATGCAGCCGTTCCACTCCTGGGCGGAGAGATGAAAACTTCTCTCTACACAAAAGCTGGCACAAGAATGGTCATAGAGTCATTGTAATAGCCCCCAAATGGAAACTATCTGAATGTCCTTCCGCTGATGAACAGATAAATAAAACGTGGCACAGTCACACAATGGGATAGAAAGAAATGGAGGGGAGGGAACCGAACTTAACAGCCAAGACACCCCTGCCCCGCATCAGAGCGCCTGAGTTCAATGCCTGGCCCTCGACTCCAGCTTCCTGCTAACGCAGACCCCGGGAGGCAGCGATGACAGCTCGAGAAATTGGGTTCCTGCCACCCATGGGGGAGACCCAGATTGAGTTCCTGGCTTCCAGCTTTGGCGGGGCCCAGTCCCAGCTGTTGTAGGCATCTGGGGGAGTGAATCAGCTACAACATGGTTGAACCATGAAAAGATACCAAGTGGAAGAAGCCAGCCGCAAAGGACCACCTATTGAATGAGTGCATTTATAGGAAATGTCCAGAACGGGTAGCATTGTGGAGACAGGAAGTAGAGTGGGGTTGCAGAGGGCTTGGGGTCTGGAGGGCGGGGCGTGAAGGGTGCAGGTTCATTACAGGGCCATGAAAGTGTTCTAACATTGATTGTGCTGATGGTTGCACAACTCTGTGACTATACTGAAAAACATTCAATTGCATACTTCCAGTGGGTGAATCATAGGGTATGTCAATTATACTCCAATAAAGCTGTTTAAAAAAAAAGCTTTGTCAACCTTTGTTCTAGTCAAGAAAGGTCTCCAAGGAGGTGACATTTGAGCTTCTCCTTTTATAGCCAGCTCGGAGCTCCCAGACGGTGACCGATACCATTTTATTATGCAAATCACTTACAGGCGTGGGCATTTGGCGCAGCTGGGACACTGCTCGGGATGCCTGCATCCTATACCAGAGTGCCAGGGTCTGAGTCCTAGCTCTGCTACCAGCTCCAGCTTCCCGCTAATGTGCACCCTGGCAGGCAACAGGTAATGGCTCACCTGGTTGGGTACCTGCCATCCACGTGGGAGACCTGGACTGGGTTCCCAGTTTCTGGCTTCAGGCTGGCCCAGTCTCAGCTGTTGTGGGCACTGGGGGAGTAAACTAGCTTCTGAGAGATCTCTGTGTCTCTTTCAGATAACTTAAATAAATAAATAAATATATATATTTTTTTAAAAGAAAACACTTGGGGCTGGCACTGTAGCACAGTGGATAAAGCCACCGCCTGCAGAGCCAGCACCCTGTATGGGCGCCAGTTCGAGTCCCGGCTGCCCCACTTCCAATCCAGCTCTCTGCTATGGCCTGGGAAAGCAGTAGAAGATGGCCAAAGTCCTTGGGCCCCTGCACCCACGTGGGAAGAAGCTCCAGGTTCCTGGCTTCGGATCGGCGCAGCTCCAGCCATTGCAGCCATCTGGGGAATGAACCAGCAGAGGGAAGACCCCCCTATCCCACCCCGCGCCTTTCAAACTTTGCCTTTCAAGTAAATCTTAAAAAAAAAGTTTATAAAAGAAAACACTTTACAATCAGTGCCTCATTTAATGCTCACCGATTAACAGATAGAGAAACTTGAGCACAGAGAGGTTAGGTGATTTCCCCCAAGTGGCACAGAAGATGAACAGCAGAACTGGGATCCGATTCCAGCTGTGTGCTAACATCAAAGCTGCGCTCTCACGCACGCTGTACACTGTTCCCTGTCTAGTCCCTGAGTTCCTGATCTCACAGACAGAGCAAGACAGAGGAGACCGGGACAAGCACAGCCTGAGCGGAAGGCAGCGGAGGGTGTGTCAGGTGCGGGGGGGGGGGGGCAGCGAGGAGCAGGCCATGGCTCAGGGAGAGGCCTCGTGGGGGTGCAGACACCAACCCCTGGATCCTGAACAGGAGAGGCCCCGCAGTCATCCATCACAAGCAGCGCAAGCAAGGCTGGTCTGAAAAGCACACCCCGGCCTCGAGGCCGGAAAAGCCAACCCAGTGTGTGTGGGCGGGACCAGGAACCCAAGTTCAACGCAGGTGGTACAGAGCCTGCCCCTTGAGAAGTCCAGCACAAACAAGATCCGCACCAGACCCCCCGGGGAGTCCCCACCACCCCCTCGTGCCCCCCTCCTTTCCTGACACCCCACCTTCCTGCCCTGCATTCTCCCAGGCCTCCCTGGCGGGGTCCCTGCTCTTCTCTCTGCCTCCCGTGACCTTCCCCTCCTTGGCTCCGCCCCTTCTTCCCCAGGAGGCCTCATCACCTGTGCCTCTCACCCACACAGGCTCGGCTTTAGGGAGTCACCTCTCTGTGAAGCCTTCCGTACGCATAGCCAGGTTTCTTTACTGCATCTCTAACGTGGGGACCAAGAATGGACAAGAACACGTAGGCACTTTATAAAAAGCAGCTATTATTTTTTATTGCTGATTGACCTTGAGTAGGGCAATTCCTGTACCTCTATAATAATAAGTGTGGGGCAAGCCTTGTGGTACAGCGGGTTACACACAGCTTGGGATGCCCGCATCCCATATCAGAGTGCCTGGTCCAAGTTCTGGCTACCCCACTTCCAATCCAGCTTCCTGCTAATGTGCTTGGAGGGCAGCAGATGATGGCTCGAGTTTGTGGGAGACCAGGATGGAGTTCCTGGCTCCTGGTTTTGGGCTGGCCTAGAGCTGGCTGTTGTAGGCATTTGAGGAGCAAACCAGTTGATGGAAAGATCTCTCTCTCTCTCTTCTCTCTCTGTTCCTCCCTCTGTCACTCTGCATTTCAAATACATAAATAAATCTTTAAAAAGTGAAATAAGTGTTCCTGTGTCAAACACTGCATTAATTTATATATATATGTGTGTGTGTGTGTGTGTGTGTGTATAAAACATACTGAGGCAGAGAGAAATCAGAAACTTCTTATCCAAGCTAGAGACTGGCAGCACTTGTCAGGTCCTGAGCGCTTCATGCTACCTGACCTGCACTGCTATGCCAGGCTCAGGGCTGGCATGTGCTCCACAGGTGCTTTGTAAGTGCCACCAGCTGAACTGAACAGTGGCTCCAGATTCAGGGATGGGGGAGAAAGCACCCACAGACTGTACTGGTGGCGAGGTCTCATGCTTTTTATTTGACAAGATTCAACATCCTACAATCTCTAATGAGAATGAGATGTTAAAAAAATAATTCAGAATGGTGTCCCATTCAGTTTGGCAGGGCCAAAGCCTGTCAATCTATTCCAATGGGCGTGACCATGGGTTTGAACTTCAGAATATTAAGACAGTGCAAGGATACTGGAGAATAAGGAAGGGTGCAGGGTGCTGAATCGGGCCCAGCTGTCCCACTGGGCTGCCCCTCATTTCTGAATCTCTCATCTCTCTCCAAGCCCCTCTATATTATTGTTACCCCAAGTACTGATTCTCTCCCCATGGACAACGGGGAGAGATTCAACGTAAGGGGCACTCCGTGGGAAATACCCCCAGGTATTCGTCCCCAAACAAGGTGCTACAAGGATCAGAGGTCCTTTCGTCTGGCTCCAAGTTCTCTTTCAATTCAGGTAATTACCCACCCTGCTTTGAGCTCCATGCAAATTTCAGGTAGACCAGAACACCTTCCCTTGGAGCCTAAGGTCTATTCTACAGAGCCAGACAGCTTCTCACCTGAATTGTATCAATGGGGAATCCTGTGGGTCACTCAGTGGAGGAGCCATGGAAATACTGTGCTACGTGAAATCACCCGGCTTGGAGCTCAGAAGTCATGAAGATACAGGGCAAAGAACAGAGCCAACTGTGACTTGTGCCAAGAACCCAAGAGATCAAGAACAAACCCAAGTCGGGAAAACCAGAAAGGACACCCCAGCAGGGTGCGGACAGGACGCAAAAGGTAAACCGCCAATGAGACGACTAGAAGGCTTTCCGGAAATGGATCACTCTCTGAAATGCTTGCCGAAAATCCTCATTAAACACAGTGTAGATGATGGGATTGATGAGTGAGTTTAAGTAGCCCAGCCAGGTGAAGAAGTCAAAGAGGCCCGGGGGCATCCAGCAGGAGTCCCGGCAGATGGGCAGGACCAGAGACGCCACGAAGAAGGGCAGCCAGCACCCGATGAAGGCCCCCAGAATGATGCCCAGTGTCTTAGTGGCTTTCCTCTCGCGAGCAGCGGAAATCCGCTTGCGTTCCAGGACGCTGTCCGCGAGCTTGATCCTCACGGGGTTGAAAAAGAGCGGGGAGCCGGCTGAGTGCGAGTGGCCCTCACCGAGGCTGGGACTGAGGGAGCAGAGCGAGGAGCCCGCCGAGCCCGTGATGAGGTGGGCCGTGGTGAAGCGCTTCCCGTAGAGGGAGGGCGGATTCAGGATGCGGTTCCGGGCGGCCATGTAGATGCGGCCATACAGGACGATGAGCAGCACGGATGGGATGTAGAAGGCCCCACAGGTGGAGTAGATGGTGTAGGAGATCTGGGAGGTGTTCACCAGGCAGTCCGACACCTCCTCGTGGGCTTTGGCTTGCCGCCAGAAGAGCGGTGGGATGGAGATGCAAATGGAGATGGCCCAGACCACGGCGATCATGGCGGCCGCGTGGCCTGCTGTCCGGCGCTTACTGTACTCCAGGGCATCCGTGATGGCCCAGTACCTGTCCAGTGCAATGACGCAGAGATGCAGGATGGAGGCTGTGCAGCACGTGATGTCAGAAGACACCCAGATGTCACACAGGACTTGGCCAAAGTTCCAGGTGTGTGTGATGGTATAGGCGATGCTGATGGGCATGACCAAGATGGAAACCAGGAGGTCGGTGGTGGCCAGGGAACCAATGAGATAGTTGGCAGGGGTGTGGAGCTTCCTGGTGAGCAAGATGGTGGTGAGGACAAAGGTGTTGGAGAGGACCGTGGCCACTGTGATGATGGAAAGGACCACAGCCAGGGAGATCTTCAATGCCTGGAGGGTCCCCGGGTCCCAGGCCTCTGGGGTCCCTGTAGCGTTCAGAGATCTGTTGGCAGCCTCCTGGGGCAGGCCTTCTGCCGACTGGTTTGATGGGGACATGCTAAGTGTCTCCGTCTTCTGGAACACTCCCACACATGTGGCTCCTTCTCACAGCTGCCCTGCCCGCAGAGGAGGACTGTGGTCCCGGAACACTCCGCTGAGAGCCATCCAGACCCCAGCAGAAAGACCTCCGGATTCGACTATGGGAGGAACACGCAGGCAACAGCCAGCAGGTGGTGGAAGGTCCTGCCCAAGTCAGAGGGATACCAAGACATCTCACTGCTGTGGAACTCGGCCCAGCAGAGGGTACAGCCCAGTGGCTGTTAGACGCTGGCCAGAGTATCACACCAGTGTGGGCAAGGCTCTGGCATTCTGGCCTTTGGCGTCTGGGCTCTTTTCAAAGCTTGGGACATCAATGTGTCTAATGGGAACTTTAAAACTTCCCCCATCCTGATCTGAGATGATTCAGGTTGCTTGCGGGGAGCTTCGGTGGCCGCTGATTGAGAGCAGCAGTCGTGTCAAGGGCTCACCGTCTTCCCAGGTGCATCTTGACGCATCACGAGGTACTCAACGTTGCTTCCTGTCCCATGGATGGTTGTGAGCTTGAATACACAGAACATTCTGGTTACCAAGACTGAGGAATGCAAGAGCTGGGAGCAGGCAACACACACAGACCACTGTCAGTTCACCAAGAGGGGCACATGTTCCAAAGCTCTAGGGTTTAAAAAAGAAAAAAAAAAAAAAAGCCAAGAGTAAGATTCTGGAAGGATAGTACAGAAAGCCTGGAAGGAACTGGAAGATTCAAAGGACTTCATGCAGGCCGTGGCGCTGGGGAACTGACATCTCAACAAGGGAGGGTGATGTGCCCCACGCCCGCAATTCCTAAAGGGGACAAAGGCCCTGGGCTGCAGGAAGCATTGCAGGCTTGTTACAGGAAACCAGCCCTGTAAATGGAGAAGCAGAAAGCATCTTCCTACTTATTCAGCAACAATGGAAACAACCAACCTGTGCACTCGGGAGAAAAACAGAAAACCACCCAGAAAACCCCGGATTGTTCCGAACTATGGCTCTAGGAAGTCTCGAGGGGAGAGAACTTCCTTTTACTCACTCGAATTTTCCAAGTTTCCTCGGGTGAGCATGAAGGACTTTCTCAACATCAAAACCAAAACAATCCAAACCCCAAAAAACCACACACATGAAAACAAAAGCATCATCATTTTGTGAAGCAAAGAAATCGACAGCCAACTGGGAACAGCAGTAGAAAATGGCTCAAATGTCTGGACCCACATGAGAGACCCGGATAAAGCTCCCGGCTCCTGGCTTCAGCCTGGTTCAGCGCTGGCCGTTGTGGCCATCTGGTGAGTGAACCAGCAGATGTAATCACTCTCTCTCTCTCTCTCTCCCCTGCTCTCTAATTCTTTCAAATAAATAAATAAATCTTAAGAAAGGAAATCAATGGCCAAACTCTGAGCTTTTTTCATGGTAGATGTTCAAAGAAAATAACGTTCAACATTCCAAATGGAAACTGGAAATGTGGCCACAAAAAAATCTGAAAGACTCATTTTGTTTTCTCCTCTGTGTGCCTCTGGCCTCTGAGTTTAAGTGTTTGGGACATGGGGAAGCTTGGGGTGCCCGGGGCTTGGGGCCATTGGTGTTTTAATAATCAGGGTGAGGAGAGGCAGAGGGCAGAGCCACTGAAGGCCATCTCTGGCATGACTCTAGCTGAAGTCCTCAGGGCCCAGCAGGTAACCCCTAGGCATAATGGGGTTGTCAAGAAGATGCCCATGGGGGCCGGCGCTGTGGCGAAGCAGGTAAAGCCGCCACCTGCAGCACCAGCATCCCATATGGGCGCGGGTTTGAGTCCCAGGCGATCCACTTCTAATCCCACTCCATGCTAATTACCTGGGAAAGCAGTGGAGGATGGCCCAAGTGCTTGGACCCCTGCACCCGTGTGGGAGACCCAGAAGATGCTGCTGGCTCCTGGCTCCTGATTGGCTCAGTTCCAGCCATTGCAGCCATCTGGGGAGTGAACCAGCACATGGAAGACCTCTCTCTCTCTCTCTGCCTCTGCCTCTCTGTAATTCTGCCTTTCAAATAAATACATAAATCTTTGAAAAAAATAAAAAAGAAGAAGATGCCCAGACCCCTGAGTCCATCTCTGTTCCCACCCTCTCTCCCCCTGCCTTGCATGAAATGCTCAACACCACCAGGAATCCCTATGATTCATTTGGTTTTTTCCAAGTTAACTCAGCAAACAGATCTGGCCATCGGACCACTCAGCTTGGCAGGGGAGGGAGATGCGCAGCTCCGGGGACCTGGGATGGAGCTGCCAAGGCAGCATCTACACACACCCACTTTTTCAAAAGTGTGGTCGTTGCACGTGTATGAATTTGTTTCAATGTCATATTGTGAACAATGTTCCATCAGTCACTCTCACATCATTCTTTTTTCTTAAGCGCTAGTCTCTTAAACATTTCTTATTTATTACACATTTTCATTTAAGAGACAGAGGCAGATCTGCCACTTGCTGGTTCACTCCCCAAATGCCTGCGAAAGCCAGGATGTGCCCCAGCCTGAAGTCAGGAGCTGGCACTCAATCTAGGTCTCTCACATGGGTGGCAGGGACCCAAGTATTTGAGGCAGCATCTGCTGTGTTAGTGGAAAGTTGGACCTGGAAGCGGGGGAGCTGGTACCAGAGCCAGGCACTCTGATTTGCGAGGCAGGCGCCCCAAGCAGTGTCTTAACCGCCATGGCAAATGCCTGACCCCTGCAGTATTCTTATGGGCTGCATCTTGTTCCATTCAGCAGCTACGTGAAGGGAAGTATTTGATGATCAAATGTGGGAAGGCATTCCTGGGGAGGCTGGGGAGGCAAAAGCAAAAGGCCTGGAGGTACAAGGCCAGGTCAGAGGAGGGCAAGGTCCGCTGGCTGGAGGGTGGAGGGCAGAGAGGCCCGAGGGGCTCAGGCCCAGGACAGGACAGGTGCCAGGAGTGGGAGGCAGCAGGGCCCAAGGGAGAGCTTGGCCCGGCCTGGGGCAATCTGTTCTCCAATCTCTGCTAAATCCCAGCCCCCTGTGTAAGACGCGGGGCAAATGTTTTCCCTTTTCTGAGTCTTGGATTTCTTCCTCCAAATATGGCTCCCTAAGGCTGCCACAAAGCTTCCAGCGCACCAGGCCAGGCAAACTCATGGCATAGAATAAAAAAGCTGAGATGAGGGCCGGTGCTCTGGCATAGTGGGCTAAGCCTCTGCCTGCAGTGCCAGCATCCCATATGGATGCCGCTTCAGGACTGGCTGCTCCTCTTCCGATCCAGCTCTCTGCTGATGGCCTGGGAAAGCAGTGGAAGATGGCTCCAGTGCTTGGGCCCTTATACCCATGTGGGAGACCTGGGAGAAGCTCCTGGCTCCCGGCTTTGGATTGGCCCAGCTCCAGCTGTTGGCAGCCATTTGAGGGATGAACCAGCAGATGGAAGACCTTTCTCTCTGTTTCCTTTTCTCTGTCTGTAACTCTACCTCTCAAATAAATAAAATCTTTTTTTTAAAAAGCTGAGAAGGAATCATTAGCATCTCACTCCCCTCCCCCACAGCTCAGCTCATGGCTTTCTCAAGCAGGATCAGTCTGTGTCTGTTGATTGACTGATTTTTATTTATTTTTAAGAGACATATTTATTTGTTTGAAACACAGAGCGGCAGAGAGAGAGAGAGGGAGAATCTCCCAACTGTTGGTTCACTCAGCTTGGGCTGGGCCAGGCCAGAGCCAGGCCAAAGCCAGGAGCTGGGAACTCAGTCCAGGTCTCTGGCAGGCACCCAGGGACCTGAGCCATCATCTGCTGCCTCCCAGAGCTTATGTTAGCAAGTAGCTGGATCAGAAGAGGCAAGAGTGCAACCCAGAGACAGATACAGGATGCAGGGGTCCCAAGTGGTGGCTTAACCCACTGCGCCACAGCTCACCCCGGTTTACTGATTTTTGAAAACATTAAGAAGTTCAACTGCAACAGGGCAGCTCCCTCCCACTCCCTCGGCTTGCAGGCTCTCCATCTGCTGGGAGGAGGAGAGACAACCACCACGGACGGAAACCGATCTACGCCACCAGCTGCAACACACACACCCGGGCTGGAAGGATGTTATTATAGCGTCTTTCGTGGAGCTCCTGCTATGTCCCAGGCACTGAGCCAACCCTCGGCTAAGAGTCACCCAAACTGTGAAGTGGGCAGCATGGCCCTCCACTTACAAATGGGCCAGCAGAGGCACAGAGAGGTGATGTCACCTGCCAAAGGTCACCGGGCTGGAAGTGGAAGAACCGGGTCTGGAGCTGTTGACACTTCTGCCTTCTCCACCAAGCCTCAATTCAGGACAAAAAGCCTCAAGGCACATGAGTTTCCAGGAATGAAGCCAGTCGGGAACCCCTCCTGCCCCCACCTGCCCCAGGCTCCAACCCCAGAAGCCACTGCTGAAGGATCCTCCCACTTGGGTTCACACGGAAAATGTGACAGCCTCACTGTTGGCAATGTTCTTCGCTGCAGACGGCCGGGCGCGGGAGGTGCCGTCATTCCCACGGCAGGCTGCTGCGCGGCTCCCACAGCCCCATGCACTCATGGTTCCAAGACATTCCAGTGACCTCATTCCAGTGGCAGGCGTGGGCTCGGGGAGGCTGGTGGGTGAGCAAGCCCTCCCTGCCCCTCGGCGACATCTGGGAAGAAGGACCGAGACAGGGTACACGGCCTTGGTCAGGAAGGCTGGGCTGGATCTTTTATTTTTTTTCTTTTTAATTTTTTTTTTTTTCATTTTATTTGAAAGGTTGAGAGAGCTTCCATCCCCTGGTTCACTCCCCAAATACCCACCAATAGCCAGGGCTGGGCCAGGATGAAGCCAGAAACCTAGAATTCAATCTGGGTCTCAATGTAGGTGGCAGGGACCCAAGCACTCGAGCCGTCACCTGCTGCCTCTCAGGGTGTACAAGTAGGGAGCTTGACTGGAAGTGCAGAGTAACCAGGACCAGAGCCAGGCACTCCTATGTAGGATGCGGGTGTCCCAAGCAGAGACTTAATCAACTGCCTCAAACCTTAATCACCTGCCTCAGTGATGGTCTAAAAATACACCATCATATAAACATATATATGTATATATATACACACACATAAACTCTTTTGTAAGGAATGATATATTTGTATTTTTTAAAAGATTTATTTATTTATTTGAAAGGCAGAGTTACAGAGAGGCAGAGGCAGAGAGAGAGGTCTTCCATCCGCTGGTTCACTCTCCCATTGGCTGCAACAGCCGGAGCTGGGCAGATCAGAACCCAGAAGCCAGGAGCTTCTTCCAGGTTTCCCACGTGGGTACAGGGACCCAAGGACTTCAGACTTCTTCCAGTACTTTCCCAGGCCATAGCAGAGAGCTAGATTGGAAGTGGAGCAGCTGGGACTCGAACTGGCACCCATATGGAATGCCAGCACTGCAGGCAAGCAGTGGCCTTACTCACTACGCCACAGTGCTGGCCCCTATATTTTTCTTTAAAAGGAACTGTACTGGGGCCAGTGCTGTGGCCTAATAGATTAAGCCTCAGACTGAGTGCTGGCATCCCATATGAACACTGGTTCTAGTCCCAGCTGCTCCACTTCCAATCCAGCTCTCTGCTATGGCCTGGGAAAGCAGTGGAAGATGGCCCAAGTCCTTGGTCCTCTGCACCTACATGGGAGACCTGGAAGAAGCTCCCAGCTCCATTGTTCTGGATCAACCCAGCCATTGCAGCCACTGGGGAGTGAACCAACAGATGGAAGACCTCTCTCTCTCTCTCTGTCTCTCCCTCTCTCTGTAACTCTGGCTCTCAAAGAAATAAACAAATCTTCAAAAAATTCTTAAAAATTGGAGTTTCCTTTCCTCCATTAAAAAAATACTACCAGTAATATCATATTGCCAAGTTCATACCTATTGATACATTTCAGTCCAGAAGGTCTGGATTCCGGTCCCAGCTCTGCCACTGACCAACTGGGTAGCCTGGAATAAATCCTGATTACTTTTAGAATCTCAGTTTCTTCTTTAATAAAGTGGAAGCATAAGCTTGGCTCTGCTGCCCCAAAGGGGTCTTGAGTAGCTCCCATGTGGGGCTGGCATTTAGCTTAGGAATTAAGATGTCTGTGTCCTGCACTGGAGAGCACGGGTTCCACACTTGGCTCCGACTCCTGACTCCAGCTTCCTGGTAATGCAGATCCTAGGAGGCAGTGGCGATGCCTCAAGCACTTGGCCTCCTGCCACTCACATGGGAGACCTAGATTTAGCGTTCCCAGCTCTCACCTCCCAGCCCAGCCATCGCAAGCATCTGAGGACTGAACCAGCACATGCGCGCCCTCCCTCTCTTTCTCTGCCCCTCAAATAAATATCGTAGAAGATCACGTGCTGTGCGGCAGCATCCGGAACAAACGTCGTAATGATTCAATGGTGCAGGCGGTGGCTGGAAGCACCATTCTCAGGCCCAACCTCCATGGCTTCACCTTCTCAACGTGGCCACTCGGCCAGTCACTCGCTCTCTCTGGGCCTGGACAGACTCCGCGATGGACATCATAGTCCACATCTCAGAGGAATAGGGGGAAAGTGGATAAGGTCACAAATACCAACAGCTCAGCCGTAAATGGCGACCACAAATGTGGCCTCTCTGGTTTCTGTGATGCGTCCAAGCAAATTCAGACCTCCAGACAGCAAGGTCAGCTCCCTCCCCGGAAACCAGGCATCCCTGTGCATTCCAGTACGCGGTGTCTGCCCCTGTTGGAACTCCAGCCACACCCGAGAGCTTCCTCCTTGCCCATCCACAGTCCTGGGAGCAAATGCTTTCCTCAGCCTCTTCCCAGCTCAACAGTGTCCCCTGGACTCCAAGGACACTGTGCCTCTCCCACCCCCCATCCCCACCCCCGCCCCCGCTTTGCCACCTCTGCAGAAGGGTGGGAAGGGAAGCACAGACAGACGGACCTGAGGCCCAATCAGTCTCCACAGAGACCACTCTGACACAGCTGATTGGACCAGGGTAAACATGTGACCCAAAATGAGCCAATCAGAGACTGGATATGGAGCCAAACAGAAGATGGAGGAAAAGCACTCCAGAAGCCAATTATCCTGAAGCTGGAGTTAGCCTGCACCCAAGACCAAATCCAGGCAAGGTTTAGCAAGCAGAAAAGCAGAAAAGTGCAGGGCTGGCGCTGTGGCATAGCGGGTAAAGCTGCTGCCTGCAGTACTGGTATCGTGTAGGAGTGTAGGTTCAAGTCCCGGCTGCTCCACTTCCGATCCAGCTCTCTGCTATGGCCTGGAAAGCGGTAGAAGATGGCCCAAGTCCTTGGGCCCCTGCACCCACATGGGAGACCCAGAGGAAGCTCCTGGCTTCTGATCAGCGCAGCTCCGGCCATTGCGGCCAATTGGGGAGTGAACCAGTGGATGGAAGACCCCCCCCCCTCATGCCTCTCAAATAAATAAATAAATCTTAAAAGAAAGAAAAGCTACAAGTGAACAAGAGAACGGATCCACAGAGATCTGCAGGAGAGTGGAGCAGCCAAAGGAACCCCCCCGCCCCGCCCCAGGAAGGAAGGAAGGAAGGAAGGAAGGAAGGAAGGAGCCTCTCCTCCTGGCCCCCACTTTCCCCTCCTTGTGTGTCCACGGGTGATTTCTACCCAGGAACCCTCATTTCTCCCCACTCATCTGTCCCAGCTGAGCCAGTTCACGTGGACAGGCCCTGAGCAATAAGAAGACAAAGGAATTTCAGTTCCTTCCCAAAGAACCCCCACTGTGGGGTGCAGGCGAGTCCTTCCCCCTCCGGAGCTCTCCTTCATCTGTAAATTGGGGCAACAAGGCCTTTCTCCCAGGGCCCCAGTGTGTCCCTGTGAAGTCAGGTTAACCCCAGCACAGGGGCTGGCACACCGCAGGCGTTCTTTTTAATCCCTTTTAGCCTAAGCTTCCTACCCAGGGCTCATTCAGCTTGCAGGAAGATCATGGCCTCCCCTTTCTGAAAGGGGTCTTTAACTGAGCCATAAAACCTCGCCAGAAACAAAAGAGGAAGCATGGGCTTAATGTGTGCGCAGAAGCCGGGCTCATCCCTTAGAGGGAAAAAATCCCAGACTCTGTGATCAAAGATTTGTTGCAGGAGAATAAATCCCCCACAGAGGAATTCGTGCCTCTAGAAGCTGGCTGCAACGGATGAGTGAGCCTAGACGGGAAATCAGTGGAGACAGGAGGCTGCATAGTATTTTCTAAAATGCCTCCATCACTGCTGTCTCTTCCCATCCTCGCTCCTGCACGGGACCTCCCTACAGCCTCAGCTTCTGTGCAATCACAGTACCCAGGACGGTCGCCAGGCATGTCATGAGGGTTAAGTGTAATGTATGTGAAGAAGACGGAAAAGTTCTCAGAGAGGGGACGGGGGCGGTGCCCACGTCTCTCCTGCTTTCTCTCTCAATGCAAGCTTTCCAATCCAATCAGTATCTTTGAAATGCAAGCAAATCAGTTTTGCATCTCACATTCTCTAATTATAAAATCTGGGAAATGCAGAAAATAAAAAGAAGCCAAAGAGTGGGCGTTGTGGCTTGCTGGGCTCAGCCGCTGCCTGGGACGCCAGCATCCTTTACCAGAATGGCGGCTGGAGTCCTGGCTACTTTGCTTCCAGTCCAGCTTCCTGCTAATGCATCCTGGGAAGCAACAGATGATGATTCAAGTGCTTGGGCACCTGCTCCCCGTGTGGGAGACCCAGATGGAGTTCCGGCTCCTAGCTGTTGGGGGCACTTGGAGATGGAATCAGCAGATGGAACACTCCTCTCTGTTGCTCTTCCCTTCAAGTAGATGAAAATAAAATTTATTTTTCAAACTCGTAAGTGCAATCAGGATATGTTTAAATAAATATTTTATTTATTTGAAAGAGTTATATAGAGAGAGGGAGAGGTAGAGAGATCTTTCATCCACTGGTTCACTCCCCAGATGGCCACAATGCCTGGGGTGGGGCCAGGTCTACTCTCCCACGTGGGTAGCAGGGGCCATCTTCCACTGCTTTTTCCAGGCTATTAGCAGGGAGCTGGATCAGAAGTGAATCCAGGTCTTGAACCTGCACCCATATGGGATGCCAGTGTCACAAATGGCGGCTTCACCCACTATACCACAACGCAGACTCGAAAGTAAAATTTAAAAATAAACATTAACCAAAAAAGCAGCCAAACTTCTGACACAGCTCTTCCACTAGTTCTCTCAACAAAGATGTGCACGTTTGTCCACCCAAAGACGCACGCAGGGATTGTTCCAGCAGCGCTATCCACAACAGCCCCAAGCCAGAAACCTTGCCCACAAACAGCAGTGGAGGCGCAGACAGCCATGGCAAGCGGAACACTGTACGTCAGGGAGCAGGAGCCCCAGCCCCACACACCCACGCGGGGACTCATGTAACACTGAGCAGAAGCCAGACACCGCGTGTCATTCAAACCTCAGAACGTTCAGAACAGGCTGACCTACACTGATGGAAACCAGGCTAGGGTGCTGGCCTTGAGGGAGGAGGTGCCGTGATGACAGGGAACATGAGGGGGCCTCGGGGTGCAGGGCGTGTTCTGTCCTGGAGCTGGGGCTCTCACTTTGTGAAAATCCATCACCTGGGTTTGGGCACTGTTGCTCTTATAAAAATTTGACCTCCTACTGCCCAAAAAAGATCAGTGGCCAAGCGCCCAAGAGCCTTTAGGCACCAGTCCCACTGGTCACAGC